CAGAAAGCCGCCGTGTGGACGCCAGGTGATGAAAGTTTCTCCCAAAGTGAGTTTTTTCTGTGCTTCTCACCTGTGTGAAGTAGAGGTTGAGCAGGCAGAGGGTGAAGAACTGCAGGCAGACTGGGCAGCAGTAGAGCAGCCAGTAGGCCAGCGGCTGCAGCCGGTTGGCCTGCAGCACGTTTCTGAAGTAGAAGGAGAAGAGGGTGGTCCTGAGCGCGGCCCAGAGCAGGCACAGGAACAGGAACACGCTCTGGAAGCTGAGCCGCTTGTGGCCGTAGTGCAGGATGAGCCACAGCTGCAGGTACACGAACACAAAGAGGACGGAGTACAGCCCGGTGTACACGGTGGTCAGGCTCAGCTCCAGCCGGGGGGAGATCGACGGCTCCTGGAGGGAGGTCAGCAGACCGGGGTCGGCCGAAAACATCTCCGACGCAGACGCACTAAAAACGGGCAGAGAGAGGCGCTAAAAGTGGGTCAAACCTGGTCTGAATCCACTGGGGATGGCAACGAGACAGTGGGGTTTGTGGTAAAAACAGTGTTCCCTGAACAGAAGTGGCATTTTCTCAAAGCCGGAGCGGGGTTTCAAACGGAAAAAATAAACAGCAGAGAGGAGGGTCAAACTGTTAAAAAAAAGACGCTCGGTTAAAAGCAAAAAACAAGACAAGAGGTTTTCCCTGTGATTGTCTGCAAAGCTGCTCTCTGCAAAAAAACAACCTGAGGGGGGGGGGCTAAGAATCAGCTGTGATGCAGTTTGGCCCTTCCCCCCTTTAAAAAAACAGAAAGAGACGGAAACCAGCCTCCGGACGGCCGCCATCTTGGCTCGTTAACGGGTTTTTTCTTATGGGAATCAGGTGACTGTTGAGCCACGGAGTCCGGTCGGTTTCAGGGCCGCGCTTCCGGGTTTCTCAGAGGCCACGCCCACCTCCCCCCAGCCGGCCTTCCTATTGGCTGAGAACAGCACCCAGCCTCCACAGATCCTCTCACTCTATTGGGCTGAGATGATGTCAGCTGCAAGGTTTCCCGCCCTCTTTCAGGCCCTGATTGGCTGTTCGTTCAACTGAAAACCATCCAATGCTCTGATTGGTCAACATGAGCTGGTGGGCGTGGCTTCTACGTGACATCAAGCAAGTGAAAACGAACAGATGGAAAGCGTCCCATCCATCAAAATAAAGGCAGTCACTATTCAAATTCACGAAAAGTAACTGCTGTTTGAAATTAAAATTAAATTAAAACGTAATATACCACATTTATGACGTTTTTATAACGGTTTAAATGCTTGTTTTGGATCTTTTTTTAGTTAAGAAGCAAGTTATTTTAACTGGAGGGCTTTATTTTGAAACTATGCCCGGAAGTGCGAAGCCAACGGTTACAACGGCTGGGACAACTTTGTTTTAAGACAAATTGTCAACATTTTTCGAGCATCATGGCGACAAATATGAGCAAAAACTCATTATTCATGCGTGTATTCTATTCTTAGTTCAGGAAAAATCATGTTAGCTGTAAAAAAAAAAAAAAACGGACACAAACGGAATGCTAGTTTATTAGCTAGGTTTGAACCCAATTAAAGGGTCGTGGTGGAATCTGAAATGTCTTTTTAGCTGTGGTTTCTGAAGTGTTCTCCACTTTGAAGGACAAAAGCTGAATGTGTACACCTGTTCTGCCTCGTGAGGTAACCTTTTTAAGCTTTTTATGTCTCTGCTGGGTCATTTTGGGCTAAATGAGAGTCCCACAATCCTCCAGGACAGGAAAACTCGTTGGTTCTGAGCCTCTGTGAAGCTAAACACGTCTTCCCCAGACCACAGTGTTGTGTTTATCTCTGTTTCTAGGCTGTGAGGGAGTGAGAAGGAGCAGTTCCGGTTGGGAAAAAGCCTCCTGGTCCTCAGGATGTGGCTCTGCGTGGCCCTGCTGCTGTGGATGGGCTCAGCAGGATGTTCTGAGAAGTCCAACACCTCTCAGCACATTGAATGCACCTCTGCAGACTTCTACCACGGACTGCATGCTGGGAAAATCATGTTCATCTATTTCCAGCACCAAGGTGAGATGACCAGACCTGGTGGAGGTCAGCCGAACCGCCCCGTCTCCTCCAGCTGGAGCCATTCGATTGTTCCTCTTTATTTTTGTTTAACAGTTTATTTAAAACCTGCACAGTTGGCCAAAGGGCTGAGCACAGATATAAATAAGAACATGACACATTAAAGCCGTGAAATAAATAGGTTAAACAAAGATATTGACACTAATCTAAATATTATGTGCCATCAGAAAATACTGTATTTTATTTGCGTGATACTTGAAGTTAAAGAGGTATGCAAATCTAATTCTGACATTCTTAAAAAGAAAATTTCAACAACAAATTTAGACACTTTTTTTATATGATGGGAAAGCATCAAATTTCATGATGGGCAGAGCTGAGCGGCTGAAGAACAAGAGCATTTTCTGGTAGAAAATAAGATGATTAATGGTGTTTTTAACCATTGTTAATAACACAAGAACAAATCTTTATGGGGGAATAAGGACAGATAATCCCAATACATTAAAAAAACGATTGCCCTGTCCTGTGCTTTTGGTTTTAAATCTTAAATGATAAAAAAGAGAATTCATGGTGATGCTGAAGTGGATTTGAAGCCCTGACTCAGTAAGATGCTGGTAATTTCTGTTCCCAGACTCTCCCACCATCGCTCTGTTCCTGAAGGAGCTGGAGAAGTCTGCCGAGGCTCTGCAGGATTTTGGGGTTCTGGTTGGAAAGGTAGTTTTTGTCCTTCAGTCTGAGAAGCTGGCAGGACTTTGAGAGATGGTCTCTTTGTGGACCATCCTCTCAATTCGTTTTACCCAGTTCATTCCTTTTTCCTGTTGCAGGTCAGCTGTGAGAAGGAGCCTGTTCCTAAATACTGCTCAGAGGAAAACCTTCGACACACAGCTTTCCTGTTCAGGTGGGTCCGGTTTTCAGGAGTCAGCAAAGTTTAGTCACCTCTTAGTTCTTCAGAAATGGTGAGAAACCCGTTAATGTGCAGCGTTTTTAACTCAACGCTGCTTAAAGGGAACATTTGGTCTGAGATCTGCCCAGTTTCCAGCCAGCAGCTCTTTGGGAACCCTCAGAAATCCTGTTTCCTGTCTGTCAGAATCTGGGTTTTTCTTTGGCCTTTTTCATCAATCAGCTCCAGAAATGGAACAAATGATGAGTCTCAACTAAATTCAGCACAATTGAGCCTTCAATTTATTCCAGAATGACTCAAAATGCCACATCTTTTACAAATAAAGGGAGCTGTTTTTTTATTTTTTATTAATCAATTAATTAAATTATTAATTATCTTTTTTCTACCACTTGTGGTGTTCAGCATTATGAGCATTACAAGAAAAATAGGAAGAATATTGGATTTTTTTAGTCTGAAGTCTTTCTTTGGCCCCTCAACAACATATGAAGAAAAAAAAACAGAAATTATTTGATCAAATTAGCGTGCAATAAGTCAAAAATGTATGTTGGTGTGGTCTTCTACTGGCTGTTATCAGGTATATCTGAATGTGTACAACAGGGGTTTGAGCAAAGCTTTTACCACTGAATGATGCAGAAAGTCTCACATCCAAAAGAAACCGGATCAGATATGACACATTTGGCATTATAGGGTTAAGGATGGAGACGTAGAGCAGAATGCTTGAGAATTTAACCAGAATTAATTCAAAATATAGCTGAAACATGCTGAAAAATCACCTGTACAGTCATTCAAAATTTTCATTTTACTCTTAATTACCATTCTTTATCAGAAACTCTGATTTTTTTGGGACTGCCAAACTTCTCCAGTTGCTTTAAAGCAGGGGTGTCTAAATACTCTATAACCTGAACCCGGCCCATTCATTTATGTCCATTATAGTGGACATTTTGTCCACCTGTACCCCCCCTAAGTATCTGGAGTTACCCTATAAGCCCTATAGTGTTCTGTAGAGGACATCCTGGGCTTTCCAGTGATGTGTCATGTGATAGGTTTGCATGCTGGGAACTTTACTTTTTTCCTAAGAGTTCTTAGGTAAATATCCCTTTCACGACATCTTCTTTTTTATTATTTAATCATCTAAAGCCTGTTCTATTTTCCCATGCAAGTCGTCCTGTTGTCCTCCACAGTGGACATGCTATGAAATTAAAATTAAAATTATTTTAAAAATTTTTTAACTTGTAATGTTCTTTTTTAGGTCCAAATACATGGAAAATCACAACAAAAAAGACATTTGAAGACACTTTTTTTCTTTGGGTCTCAGGAGGCTAAGAACCGGATCAGATATGACAGTTAAAGCGTTGTCTCTGTGTTTTTTAGAGGCGGGAGGGAGTTCTCCAGCTTCGACCTGGACACGGTGTTCGACGTGAACTCCATCGTCTCTGAAGTCCTGTTGTGAGTCCGAGGGGCGGCGGGGAGCTGAGACTGGCTCTGGCAGACGGGCAGAAACCGGCTATTGGCGACTGATCACAAACTTTTAGGTCGCCGAGCAGCCGATTAGGGGAAACTAACGAGCCAGACGCGCTAGATGTTCAAACGCCAGTCCACAGTCTTCGTGTTATTGCTTTATTTCATCTTCAAGTATCCAACATTAAACACGTCACAGTTCACAGGCATCCATAATCCAATAAGCGGTAATCCAGAGTGAACGTTCACAGCCAACTTGATTCGATCCGATCCAAAAGCATAAGGGGTAAAGCGTAAAGCATAAAGTATAAAGCATAAGGGGTAAAGCGTAAAGCATAAAGCATAAGGGGTAAAGCGTAAAGCATAAAGCATAAGGGGTAAAGCGTAAAGCATAAAGCATAAGGGGTAAAGCGTAAAGCATAAAGTATAAAGCATAAGGGGTAAAGCGTAAAGCATAAAGTATAAGGGGTAAAGCGTAAAGCATAAAGTATAAAGCATAAGGGGTAAAGCGTAAAGCATAAAGCGTATAGCGGTCAGCAAAAAGTAGGCTTCCCCCATCACCCACTCACTACTAAAACTGTCCCCTTGCGAGTGAACAGGTGATTTAAAATGCTACCGCCCCCCACACCACATGACCAATTAGTGCACGTCATCACTATGGCATGCAGAAACCCACTCTATCCACTACACCGGCCTCTCCTCTCTTTCAGCGCCATCCTGCGGGAGGAGGTGAGGTACGTGCACACGGAGGCCGACCTGCTGGTTCTGGAGAAGGCCTCCCGGGGGGGCAGGGACCTGGTTCTGGGCTACGTCCGCAGCCTGGGGACTAGAGGTGAGGACGCGCAGACAAACTCAACTCAACTCAACTTTATTTATAAAGCGCTTTCAGTCAGCCAAAGCTAAAATCAAAGCGCTGTACAGGCCATTTGAGCGAATCGTAAAACACAATTATCACCTCCACACAAGACAAACTCAAAGATTAACTCATTGGCTGCCAAAGACGTCTATAGAGGTCTTTTATGTTTTTAACGAGAGTGTCTGGGGGACGATCTGCTAAAGCTTGTCCGTAAATATGGGCTTCTAGACAGAGTATGTAGTAACAAATGGACCCTCTAGGGGGCAGTGCCACTTTTGATGGGAGATGAGCATAGACTGTAGGCAAATAAGAAAAAGGGAACGGTTCTATGAGAGAACATGTCGCCGGTGAGACGCAAGTCCAGGAAGAACGGAATAAGGTAGAAACACATTTTTTTTCCTGATGAAAGAAGAGAGTCTACTCTTTCTTTTGGTGTGTTCGGTGTTTACATAGTCATAGCACAAACTATTCTGTGGCTCTTGAAAAATCAGTCAAAATGCTCAAAAAACTCTGGCAGTATGGGACTCTGTTCTGAAAATGGCTGCCAGTCAATGAGTTAAAAATAAATAGGATAGGGATAAAAGTAAAGTAAGAGAGGGAAATTAAGACAACTAAAATAAAGTGGAAGTCTCACTCAAAGGCCTGAGAGTAAAGGTGGGTCTTTAAAAGGGTTTTAAAAGAACTGAGTGTAGGGGCCTGTCTGCTCCAGGTGCTTTTAAAAGAGCTGATCAGATGATCTAAGGCAGTGTTTTTCAACCTTTTTTGACCCAAGGTAACTTTTTTCATTGAAAAAATCTCGAGGCACACCACCAACCAAAAATGTCAAACAAATCTGTAGCCGCCTATAGTAACACTATAGTTATTCTTATCTTATTCTTATCTTAAGTGTCTTGAATAGGAATCAAATAAACACAAAAATGTATTTTTATCATATTTTATATTTCTAATTTCAAATTGCTCTTAACATGTCCACTTCAATATGCAAAATTATATACAAAATCTAGTCATAAGGAATTATTACATGATTACTCCACCAGTCACTAGAACAGCACACACTCAGAAATAACATATTATTTCCAGATAATTAATTCCTTATCAAAAAATCTTTTTAGACCAATTAGGTGAAATAGGATGATTTTCTACGGCACAGAGGCACAGAGGTTGAAAAACACTGATCAAAGGGACCTAGCAGGACAGTAATTTTGTAGTAGCTCAGACAGGTATGGTGGAGCTAGGCCATTTATTGTCTTATAAGCAAATAAAAGGATTTTAAAATGAATTCTAAACTCACTCCGGTCACTCAGCCAGCGTCTATCTATTTATCTATCTATCTATTTCAGAGCACAGGTCCCTGATGGAGGCCGCCTACGTGTACGGGTCCAGATACCAGTTCATCCTCAGCACCGGGGGGCCGGTTCTGAAGCAGCTGGGGTGAGTTTCTCCCCAGTTCAATTCAGTTCAGTTTTATTTCTGTAGTACCAAATGATAACAGCAGGAATCTCCCAGCTCTCCAAACAGAGCAGCTCAGACTCTGAGTTATATCCAGAAGAACAACAGTTATAATTAAGAGCAGCACTAGGAGACACAGGGAGGAAACAACTGCCTTTAGGAGGAAGAAACCTGGAGCAGAACCAGAGAAAGAGAGAGAGGGAGAGAGAGAGAAGGGCAGAGAGCTCATTTCAAATTCCAACAGCATCCCAGCCTTCTACTTTCATATTAATATTTTCAAGAAAGTCACAAAATATGTACCAAATCCTCCAAAACTGGTCTAATTTGCCTTTTGTGGTATAACAAATTCTCTCCAAATCAAAATAAAAGCACATTTCAATCACACAGGACTCTTCTGTTTCCCATTCCTTGGCCAAACAGCGCTTGGCCACCAAAATCAGATATTCAGCAGACATTAAACATCATCAAAGGTGCAACAAAAGTCAGATTAAGGCAACAAATGTGCAACAAAAGTCAGATTCTGATAAAAATGTGCAAAAAAAGTCAGATTAAGGCACAAAACATGCAAAAAAAGTCAGATTAATGCAACAAATGTGCAAATAAAGTCAGATAAAGGCAACAAATGTGCAAAAAAAGTCAGATTAAGGCAAAAAATGTGCAAAAAAAGTCAGATTGATGCAACAAATGTGCAAACAAAATCAGATTAAGGTAACAAATGTACAAAAAAAGTTCGATTTAGGAAATCAATGTGCAAAA